TATATATATATGTGTGTGTGTGTGTGTGTGTGTGTGCGTGTGTGTGTGTGTGTGTGTGTGTGTTTCTAAACTCTAAACGCTCTAAAAGAGCACAGAATGTCATGATTTCAGCTCTCTGTCTCTAGCTGCTCTCTGTGCTCTTGGCTACGCCCACTTCTCTGCTCTGCATGGAGATCAGCTGATCAGCTGCAGGAGGAAGCTTCTCCCGCAGTTGTGGGCTGCACACAGGTGCTACATCATTTAAAATAATTTATTTTAAATAAAAAATCCATGCCGATTGTACGGCTCTTCCATCAGTCAGCCACTGTGTGTCATGTCCAATCTTACTTTGAAAAACCGAGATAGAGCGAGTCCCCAAAAAACGAACCGCGAAGTAGCGAGGGACTACTGTATTCTAAACTATGTTTCTAAACTAAACGCTCTAAAAGAGCACAGCATGTCATGATTTCAGTTCTCTGCCTCCCACTGCACTCTGCCATCTGCCAGCACTCTTGGCCACGCCCACTTCTCCGCTGCAGGGCAGAGATCTGACAAGCTGCAGGAGGAAGCCTTTTCTGCAGCTGTGGGCTGCACACAGGTGCTAAATAATTTATTTTGAATAAAAATTCCATGCCGATCGTGCGGCTCCTCCATCAATCAGCCAGTTGTGTGTCTTGTCACCACGACAGAGCGAGTCCGCGAAAAACGAACCGCGAAGTAGCGAGGTACTACTGCAGTCAGAACTAAACGACCCGTTTATATGAGGAGGCCTCCAGTCACTAAAGAGTTAAAGATGTTCTGTAAGAGAGTAACATCTTTGTGAAGTTATGTTACACCCGATACTTAATGTAACATGTTTTGTTTGTCCCTCACAGATCAAGCAGGTATATTACGTTGTCTCGTGTTTTTTTACGGGTTAACTTTATCTGAAGTTCAGCTCGGGGAGGGTTCTCAATCTCATAAGTGCCTAAAATACACTTTAAAGCTTGAAGTGTTTTTGTTTTTAACTGAACTGAGATTATCTTAATTGATTTAATGCATATCTGATCGAGCGCTGACATCAATAACTGATGGAGATAATAACCTGATAGAGGTACAGCCTAAAGATAAGAGGTTGGAATTACTGACTGTGGGTTTGCAGAAGGTCCCAGATTAACTTCATCATGAGAGGAAGAGGATGGTGACCGCAGCTGGAAAAAAACAGATGATTTTTAATGATAAAATAACCATTACGTATGAAACACATACAAAATACATTTACATGTCCAGCGCTTTGGTCAATACTCAAAGTATTCTTTACGGCCTTTTCTTGTTTATTCGCTTAAAAATACTTGAATAACTAGTTTTGTCCTCGTCTTTTTGTTTTGTTTGGCGAAGAGTGACAGATTTACCATATACGAGCACTTTTTGGACTGAAATGTGGCTTGTTTTGCAATCTGAAGTGACTCAACCACACATTTCATCACTTTGACTGAGACGGAAGTAGTCTCTAAGAAATGATGTCATTGGAGGACGCACAACAAAAACAAGCAGAGTCTGACAAAAACAATAAAATCCGATCAATTTAGCCTCAAACTGCAACAATTTGTTTTCGTCTCCAGACGTCTGCTGAACAAAGGACGCATTCTTGAGATAAAAATCTAAATTACAAACCAGGTTTTCTTGTCACACACTCCCACAGGCTGCACAAAACAACTTACATTACAACAATTTTCAGTCAGGTCATCTGGACAGTTTCTTTTTTTGGTTTAACTTACATTACAGTGTGCCATGGTTCTTATGTTCGGCTCCCCCTGGAGATCTGCCTGGAGCATCAGTGTTTTGATCCAACCTGCAGGAGGAGAGCAAAGATCAGGTCAGAAGTTTAGGTTTCCAACACGCCGGACTCGGACAAAGCTGGCGTCTAACTTCAGCTGTGACCCGAGATGTGTTATGTGAGCAAAAAGCATCCGCTGACTTCTTCATGACGCCATCCAAACAAGCTGGTAGTTCTTGTTCGCCGGGATCGAGGCGCTGGAATAAACAACGAGGAATATTGTGCTCATGCCAGATAACTGTGAACATGAATTTATCATGCTGGAGACACGTCAGGGTTTGTGAAGCCACAATTAGCCTGTGATGCCCCTCGACCCAAACTGTTAAATATATCTTTACAAGTAAGCTTGTGCAAAGAACAGGACTCGTGTTGGCGGGAGTGCAGTTAAACGTGATTTCATGCACAGGCTATAATTTCATTTTGAAGATCATTTCATACGGGGTGCCGTTTGTAAAGTTACACAGTCAAAAATGAACAGCAATATTTTGGTTTATTGAGCCTTGTTTTTTTTTAAGTCAGATTTTCACCATGTTATTCATACATTTATAAATGTCATAGTTCCAAGTAACTTGCAAGTTAAGTATTTAGTTTGTAAATTAAATATTTAGTTTGGAACTATGACATTTATAAATGAATAACATGGTGAAAATCTGACGAAAAAAAACAACTTTTTTTCTTATGAAAAGCTAAATAAACAAAATTATTGCTGTTCATTTTGGACTGTGCAACTTTACAAACGGCGACCCATAATCCTGAAGTTATCCCCAACTTTTGTACGTCTCTTTTAACTGTCTATTGTTGTCGTTGTTATCCACTGTTGTCATCACTCTTTGTTAAGAAAACAGGTCTCTCTTGTAAATGAGTCCCTGAGGCTCAGTGGGATGAACTTGTATAAATAAAGGTTGAATGAATGAAAATCTTTTCAGTTTTTACTAGGTAATTCAATAATATATTTCTAATTCCACCTGGTTTAAATTAACTGTAACACTTTTCTATCTTATCAAGACACTCAAAGCTCTTTATAACACAATCTGTGTCCTCATTTACCCATTCATACATCACTCTACTAGATCTCTACAAAGACTAATCAGTGCTTTATCACATTCATGCACCGATGGGACACACATTGGAGGCAATGAGGGGTTCAGTGTCTTGCTTTGGCAACTTGACACTTTGGCATGTGACTGCTGGTGGAATCAAACCCTCAACTTTTGCATTGGAGGACGACTGCTCTAACCACTCAGCCACGGCTGCCCGTTTACTGTTCTGTTGTCTGCTACAAGCACAGAGGACAACAGGAAGACAAAATAAAAGCCACCATCATATAATTAAATATGAAATATGAAAGATCCCAGATGACGGCAAAGTGATTATCTGCAGATTTAATCCCAGCTCGGTGCTGAAAGGAGGTAATGAAGCAGCAAAACAAAGTCAAATGTTCAGCGTCTTGAGCGGGTTCCTTAACAGAAACTCTGCAAATACCAGCAGATACCAGGAAACTGTACAGGGTGTTCTCATGAGCAAATGTAAACACAGAGATGTGCACCTGATCTAATGAGACGTCTGTTGTCGTTAACATTATTTTGTTTATGTTATTAGCTGTTCGTAGAAAAAAAAAAAAAGTAGCAGGCATATCAAGGAGCAGCATCTTCTATAGGAGGTGATAATTAACTTTAGCCTGGACCTTGGTGACCTTGCAGATCTTTTACTGGCACCAAAAATATTATACAGGAAAACGAAATGCTAAAAAATAAAGACAAATTTTCCAAACGTATAAGCAAAAAAAAGCAAAAATTACCTGAAATCTTGACCAAAAGAAAGTCAGAGTACACAAAAATATGAGTGTGTGAAGTTAGAATAAACAAACTAGTTTATTTTTTAATCTGTTATTTTTATGTTTATGATAGACTCCATAAAAAATAATAATCTCGTAATTTTATTGATTCAACTAAATGATTAATTAGAAAATAATTCAGCTGAATTTGAACAGTATATTTATAATAAACCGTAAACTCAGAAGTAGATGTTAATAAAATTGTTACTACACTTCCAGGGACGTGGTTCAGCGAGAACCTAGAAGTAATTAGGTAAATATTGTTTGAATAAATAAATATTGGAAGTCTTCAGTTTGCTCACCTGAGTGCTTCAGAGGAGGAGGACGTGCTGGCTCCGCTCAGGACTCACACAACCGAGCGCTGCCAGGAGGACGGCAGCCTGAGCTTCACCTGAGCATGACGTGCTTTGTTTTTGAAACCCAGGTCAGCTGGTCCACTTCCGGGCAGTGAATTATTGATGACACGTTAATGAGTTGGAAAAGGTAGGCGGGGCTATGGGCGGGGCTACGTCTCAGGGACCTCCCGCAGAAACCGTAGTTCATTTGTACACTTCCGGCCTCTATTCCTTTCAGCGTAAAAGCGAATTGTTAAAAATAAAAACAAAGTTAGTAAAAACAAATTTGGATAAAATACGATTTTTTAAAAATCAGTTTAATAAAATAAATATGATAACATTCTCAAATTTAATTGACACATTTAGTTGTGAATTTTAGAGGATGAAGGCTGAATTTGTGCAGCTGTTTTTTTTATATAATGTTAGCCTAGCTTAGCTTAGATTGTTCTAATCAGCCAAATCTCGATAAACTATTAAAGTGATATAACATAGTTCATTTTAACAGCAGTGATGTTTTAAATGTTGCTGAACCAATGAAAGAAAACTACCTATTTTAGCTTTAAGAACATAGACAAAAGGTCAAACTCAAATTTTGTAAACGTGTCGTTTATTTAGTAATAGTTGTTTTTGACAAATCTAAACTAGCGATTTCAAAAATAAAGCTAAGGTATTTATGATTTTACTTTGAGAAATAATCTAATTCACCATGAAAAATGTTAAGCTCTTCACATCACATTGTTTTTTTAAAGTGCAACTGTTCCACATTTCTACTTACTAGCCTCACTTGAAACTGGAAGCTTAGTTTGTGATCTGAAGAGATTTAACAAGTAATAAAATGTTAAACATCATTATATTTTTTGCATTTTTGTGGCCAAATGCAGGTGTGGCTATGAAACTGCTCACCAGCCTCATAGTCCCTTATTATGTTAATTGGTTGCATAATATCTTCTTATTATGGAAGCAGGTCTACGGCCTCTTGTCCTGAGCCTGGTTCTGCTAAAGGGTTCGTCCTCGTGAGGGAGTTTTTTCTTTCCACTGTCGCCTTCATGCTTGCTCAAGATGAGAGTCTGCAATGAAGTTAAATTAAAAGTAGTCTGCTCCTCAGATAAATAATGTTATTAACTTTTGTACTTTTTATGTATATGAATGTTTCGGTTCAGTGCTCTGAGATGACTTCTGTTGTGACTTGACGCTATATAAATAAACTGAATTGAATTCACAAATTAAGGAATAGGAGCTGTGAGTTGCATACAATAATGAAATCATTAAATCATTTCCATTTGTCCGTTATCTTCTAGGGGAGTGGTGGCGCAGCAGAAGGTAGTCCTGTGATCGGAAGGTTCAACTCAAACTGTGGGTGCAGGTGAAACACCCACACCTGTCTCCACCCTCATTCACCCCACTCTGGGCCCTTGAGCAAAGCCTTTAACTCCACCATCTGCTCCCCCGGGTGTCCTAGAACGCAGCTCTCTGCTCCACACAGAGGGCTGTGGTAGCTCGGTGGTCGTGTCAGGAAGGGCATCCGGCGTAAAACCCAAATCTTTGTGCGACTTAGTTCACTGTGGTGACTCAAGAGGAATGGAGCAGCTGAAAGAAGAAGCTGATCATACCTTCTCAGTTTTCCATTCAAAAAGGGGCCTATCCACGTGGCCGAGGGTATTTGAATTTTTAACAAAACAGACCAATCATAAATGCAGAGTGCATAAATCAACAATGTGATACTTTTTTTTAAGTAGAATTGCAGCAAACAAAATCTGAACACGAATCCTAAATGCGTATTTCTTTTCAAATCCTTATTTTTGTTTCTACGAATTTATTTTAGCATCAAAAATTGACTGACAGCTTTCAGTCTGCATTTTTATCAGCAACACCTGACTTTTGTGCCCACTTCAATGGAACAAGATAAGCGGAGGGTGTGGAAGGAGCTGTCACCAACCACAGCTCTTAACATTAAGAGGGAGAGGATGTAAACAAAGTACGTTAATAGTCAACAGCACTTTGCACACAAACCTGCACATCTGAAGGAAATGCGTTTCTCCGCCCGCAATTAAAACAAGCGGCAGCAGGGCAGCAATAAGACAGATTTGACGTTTATTAATTTGTATGGATTTAATGGCATTCATGACTCCAGATTATTTTCATACACACGCACATACACACACATACACACACATCCCACCAGAGAGGCAAAGAAAAACAAAACATTCCAAGAGCCCTTAAAACATAAATCTTTTATCATCACACATCATCACCTCCATACTGTGTTTAAAACCACCTCTGACATAAAATGTAAACATGTACACACTCTATGAATGGAGTGTCCATCACACACACACTGTGACGAGCTCAGCTGCGTAAATAACAAACACACATTTATGTGCTAAAATGTGGATTTTTGCACTCTCTAGTGACCACTCCTGGTAATAAGAGCTTGTAAAATACATTTAGGTTTCACAGTTGTGCTAAAATGCCAAGCACAGTTTGTCTCATCCATTAATTCCCCCAAAAATATATTTTTAATGTGGAGATTAAAAACTCAGACTCTGATTTGACAGTCTGACTCACATTTGAAAGCAGCGTAACGCCTCGTCTGACTGCAGTGCAGCAATAAGAAAGTACAGTACAAATAACTAATACTTCTGAAGAATTATATCACTAATAATTCAGGTTTTCTTAGCAGGAAACCTGCAACAATCTGAATAAAGCATCTTAAGTTATCTTTTCCCATTTTATGCTGTTACAGTGCAACAGCTGTGCTGAATGTTTGTTCCCTCTGAACTTTTTATTGCACAAATTTGAAGCTCATCAGAGCCTCACTGACTGCCATGAACTCGTTCGATCGTTCCCTACACCCTGCTGTCCAGTCCTCACATCGTTTTCTACTATCGCCTGCCGCCAAAAAGTGATGGCAGACAATATGAATATGCTCGTGTCTGTGTGTTCAGATGTCTGTTAGCAAAATGTCTCATGAACCACTTGGTGGATTTTTATCAAACTTTCAGGTAATAATCGCTGGATGTACAATATACCGTTGATTAGTATTTGGAGTCAGTCCAATTCAAGATGGCCACCACAGCTAACTGACATTAGCCAACATAAAAATGGCTACAACTCAATTCCATTGTATGCCATTGTGCTCAAATTTCCTGTGGTGATAACAGTCACCCTCAACACGTACTCTGAGCCTGTCAGATCGCACGACGTCGAGAATGACGTTATTTTCAACGTTTGACAAGAACAACTGTCATTTCTCTTCATGAGGATTTGTCTAAAACCCTGGCATGTAGGGCGACAGGCATTACACATTCCTTCAAAGAATGCTAGTAATTATGTGTGCCCTTCTTAATTCACACGACTGACTTCAGTATTTTTTATCTAACATTGGATGAACTCTCTCTTTGTGCAAATCTGTGGCTTAAATTAAACTTATCAGTTCAGAAACTTCTTTTCAGGACAAGTCAAATTCAGCAAAATATGTCCTTTTAAATATTTTTTCTGTCATAAAGCTTTTAAAGTGCTACTTTCTTTAACTATCTCTGGACCTCATTAGCTTTAATGATTTTCCATTTAGGGTTTCAAGTCAGGTTTGAAATTGTGTGTCTGGAGACGATTCAAGTTTTAGCCAAACAAACAGACGCTGATGTTTTAAAGTTTGCTAATAACCAAACTCAACAGTTATGTAAACCACCCTCTCTCCACCAGTGTTTTAGCATCACAACATTTCTCAATACATCTTCACAGCTTTATTCTTCCCTGATTTGGCCTCCCCCTCCCCCTCGCTCTCTGATGGGCACAGGACACCAAACACATGAAAAAAAATGTATTCAGGGACTTCACCCTGCAACGAAATGAATTTGGCACGTGATGATCAGCAGCCCGCCCTCCCCCCCCCACACACTTTGTCCCAGTAAGCTGAGGCGGGATCACTTGAGTCCTTCGTCTGTGGTCTTGAACATGAGAATGGCATTGGAGATCTTGAGGGCGGGGCCTAGCTTGATGCTCATGATCTTCACAATGTCGGTCTGAGTAAGCAGCAGCAAAGCTTCCCCATCAATCATCTGGAGAGGAGCGTGAGTAAGGAGTGCGTATCAGCTGCAAACGTGACACCAACATACTGACGACACAACCATGTGGTGGTCTCACCTCTTCTTTGAAGAGACGAGCCTGGTCTTCACATCCAATCAGGTTCTGGACAAACATGAAGACCTGCAGCAAAAGACACGGGAAGCTCCAAAAACCCGACTAGATAAATGAATAAACGTGAACGTAGACCGTAAAGTTCACTCACCTCTTCAACATTCCACATTGCCACCTGGCTAGCGTGAATGCCCTGAACGCCGGGCAGCAGCTTACAGTGCTGCTCCCAGCAGAGAGACAGAGTCCGGTCCGACTGACCGCTTAAAGCTGACATGAACAGGGACGGGTACAACACCTCTGAGGACGTGTCTGTGGACAAACAGACTGGTTAGGGTGCACTCTGCAGTAATAAGCTCGAGTCAGGTCACACTTTTCTGTTTTCTTTCCACGGCACTACATTGAAGACCTAGCATTCCTCGACTGAATGCATATCGCCCAGCGCCGCTCATGCCAGAGTGTCAGATCATCTTACGCTGAGAGATGATGGAGTTGTGGCCGTTTTGATCGAACCTTGAAAATAATATTATGTGAAATCTCGTGACCTGGTAGAGCTCACAATATGTGTTGGGAATAGTCTCAGCTACTACTACACCCAGTTTCAGCTTTGTCTGTAAAATTAAAAAAGTTATAAACTTTGTTGTGTTTTCTGTAATGGCCATGTGTTGGGAGCAGTCTCAGCTACCACCACACCAAATGTTACATTTATGTGTAAAACTGACTGATGCTTTTTTTAAGGTCAGTTGGCGGTGGCAGCCATAGTAAATTGAGTTAGCTTGAAAATATGTAAACGCACATTTAATGATAACTTTCTACAAGTTTGAATAAAATCTGACCTTTGGGTCATGAAAGACACACACACACACACATTATCGTCTTTGCCTTTCAGTGGCTGCTGATAAAAGTTCAAATGAAGACAACAAAAACAGTTTTCAGGGTGAACCCTGCCTCTCGCACAGTGACTGCTGATATGGGCACCAGTGACCCCACAACCCGAAAAGGCGGGTAGAGATAATGGATGGATGGATGGATGGATGGACGGATGGATGGATGGATGGATGGATGGATAACAAAATTCTGACATTCACCCATGTTTACTGGGACAACAAGAGTTAATAATTCAACATGTTTCAACTAGTGTGACATCCTATACATTTTGAAAGAAATCTTTTACAGCGGCACAAAAAACAATTTTGCATTGGAACAGATGTACCCGGTCTCTCGTACATTAACAGCTGGAGAGCGGCTCCAGCGTTCCTGTGACTGTGCATGGAAAACTGGTAAATAAAACAGATGAATATGAAAACTGTATAACAAGGTTTTATTTCTGGATAAGTATTTCTTGTTGTGAACTGGACAGTCAAGTTTTTGTGATTATTACACTTAAAACACCTGGAAAACGTACCCTGGTAGTCCCTCTGCTGGGACTTTCTGTATTTGGGAGGACGACCGATCCTAAAACAGAAGAAGACATTGAGGTGAGACCAAAGAAAACCTGCAGACTTTAGCATGCACATGCACGTATGCACTTACCTGCCACGGTAATGAGCCTTCTTTGTCCGCTGGCTGAAGAAGAAGTTTCTCTTGCACTCTGAGTCCGACAGGTCGGCCTTCAGCCTGCCTTGGTTGCGCTCTGCCAGTGGGCAGCCTGATATGCAGTGATGAGCAGTGAAGCGGCCCGTCACATGTCCAGAACCATCACAGCCTGGAGTTGGACACTTCCTGTTTTCAAGACAGAGCACAAAATGAACATCTGTATCCAATGAACCTCAAAACTTACTAAATTTATTAGTATTTTTTGTTGTTATTTTTCATTCATAACTTGCAACTAAATATTTTCAGATTTGCAGCAAAGTACATGTGTTCATAATAAAACCTTTGAGCGATCAATAATACCTAAGGATACCACATGTTGCCTCTTTTCTTCGGTCCTGTTGCACCACAGTTTTACTAGAGTAGCCCAAAAGGGACAAACCAAATGAATTTGTGCTTCTATGAGGAGAAAATTAATTTGAAATTGATTTTCCCTTTAGGGACAAATAAAGTATATATCAATGAAGTAGGCTATTTAGCTGTTTAAATTTAAAACAGTTACAAATAAATGCCCCTGAATATGACCAATAAATGATTAAACAGATCTCACTGTTACTAAATTTGCAGTTTCAGCATTTTAAATTAATTTTAACAATTATAAGTATGTTTTTTTGTATTTATCAGCTTGTTTCTGAGTTAAGAATTTGAACTTATTGTCCTTCTTAGTGACAACAGCATAAACCTTAATGATTTTTCAACTACCTTAAAAATTCCATTAAATTACTAATCTTTAACAAAAAAAACTACCAAACTTATATCCAACGTAATTTATTTTTACTCACATTACCTCTATGCTAATTCATCTCTCCATCTCCTGCTGCTGATCTGTAATTGGGTCGCAGAGACAACAAGCCCAGAGGAGAAACCCAGACATCTCTATCCAACGACAATTTCCAGCTCCCTAAAATCGTTCCCAGTCCAGACAGGATATATAATCCCTCCAGCGAGTTCTGGGTCTGCCCCTGAGTCTCTTTCCAGTGGGACATGCCTGAAACCCCCTCAGAGGGAAGCGACCAGGAGGCATCTTAATGAGAAGCCTGAACCACCTCAACTGACTCCTTTTGATGTGGAGGAGCAGCGGCTCTACTCCGAGCTCCCTCTGGATGACGGAGCTCCTCACCTCATCTCCAAGGCTGAGAACGGCCACCCTACAAAGGAAGCTCATTTCAGCCGCTTGTACTCAGGATCTCGTTCTTTCAGTCATGATCCAAACCTCATGACCACAGGTGCGTGTGTTGTACACAGAACAGTAATCTGAAAGTTCTGCTTTCGATTCAGCTCTTTCTTCACTATGACCGACCGAAGCAATGCCCTCATTACTGAAGATGAGGCCCCGATCCGTTGATCCATTTCCCGCTCCTCCCTACCACCAGCCGTGAACAAGACACCCAGATATTTAAACTCCTCCCTATTACCTTCATACTAATAATAAGTACCTCTTTACTCATTTTAAAGAAAAAAAATGTTTTTGTTTATTTTTTAACCTACATTTAATTAACTTTACTTGTTTTTGTTTACCTCTTTTCTTTTATGTCTAATTTTGTTTTTATCTGGTGTAAATAACTTTAAACATGTTGTTGTTGTCAGGATCTGTGTGTTTTGATTATTCTTTAATAATCTTTTGTGTTCACTGTTTGGTGTATTCCTTTTTAGTTATCATGTTTATTTTCTGTGTGTTTAGTGCTGTTCTGTTTCCCTGTGCCAACAGTTCATTCCATCTCAGTTAGTTTTTACTCCTCTACCCTGCCACACCCACTTTCACCTGTTCTCCATTCTCATTTAGCTGCCTGTCTCCAGTCTCCTCATCAGCCCCCCAGTCTTCACCTCACCTGTCTGATTCTCTTTGGGTTTCATTTTTTTAACTCTGTATTTTTGCTGCCTTTTGTTTTGTTCCTAACACTTTAAGTTTTTACCTGAGCTCCTCGTGTTGGTCCAGAGAGTAAATGAACAGGATGGTGATGCGGTGAGTTTGGTTCTGACCTGTTGTGGAAGCTGTACTTGTTGGCTCTGGGATGGCTGATGGGTTTACAGGGAACAGTGGAAGGGTAGGTGGCCTGGCACATTGTAGGAGGCTCTCTCACACCTTCATATGGGCAGATAAAAAGGTAAATATTCACATGTACAGAAACAAACATCCAAAAGTTAACATTCACATAACCTCAAGCAATGCTGTAATATTAAAAGGTTTTCCACCAGCAACAATTTGACTAATTACACATTGAATTATGGCGCAAATGATGTTCAGCATTCAGTTGATTTGTTTTCCTGTGAGATACATATACCGGGGTATATACATTATTTTTTTTACATTTTTGGCAGTCTAAATAGTTCTGAATACTTTGTATTATTTTACTATTTTAGCTGTGTATGTGTGTACTTCCCCTCATTCAGGAGATGGGTGCTATGACTTTTGGTTTTTGCAACTTTTATACTTTTCAAAATGTTTACTATTTATGTAAAAATATCCCCCCCCCCCCCATAGAAATACATTCAGTCCCTTAAAAAAAACTATTCTTTGAAATCTGCTTCAGTAAACATGAACAAGTTTTGGTCGTTTTAGCTACAGTTTAGCTATTTTTAGCTTGTAGCTGCTTGTCTACTTTTACCTTCTAGCTAGCTACTTTTAGGTTTTAGGAAGCTTTTAGCTACATTTAGCTTTAAGTCGGCCCGTTTGGCTACTTTTAACTTCTACCTAACCTTATGTTATTCTAACATTTAGCCTTCTGCTACTTTTAACTAGTATTTTGCTTCTTTTAGTTAGTGTTCGCTACTTGTAGCTTTAACTCTCAGTTTCAGCTTCTGCAGCAGTCATTTAGCACACAAACAAAATATTTTTTGCAGAAAAGGCTATTTGTCTTTTTTTTGCTTTCACTCCAGTAGCTTAAAGTCAATTTACATTAACTGTGATTTCCATTTTTGACAAACATCAAGCTGAAGTTTTCAAAACAGAACAGAGTTATGAGTTGCTGCTTGCTACCATGTGGCTGTTGTGTCTTGGTGTCCCGAGGAGGAACTTTTAGCGGATGACCGGTTGCCTCACACCAGCCTGCTGGATGTATGTCCGGGTGATCCGAGTCCATCCACTCATCGTAGACATGACTCCAGCCATCATAATGGACCTAGAATAAGACACAGATCTCAGTGCTATAACAGAAACAGTTCAAAAGGCTTCAAGTGTGGTGGATCTGATGGAGCTCGAGGAACACTTCAGATATTACATGTGAATCAGATTAAACGTGCACCTTAATGCGATGAGTGTCGACTTCTTCCACCGTGGCAACTCTGATCAGACCAGGGCTTCTTTTGTCCACAGCTTCCAGTTTCATCCGAGGCTGAAAACTGTGAGCTGGTCTCTAAAGACAGAGCAGAGGATGCTGGGAAGTCCCATTTGACCATTAACAATTAAATATTTTGACAGTTAGCAGTGGGGGCGGAAGCTTAGCCTCACCACTTTAAAGGCATCTGCAGCTACAGCCTTGGAACCTGTCTCCTCCAGGTACCGAGACCAGGAAAACTGGCCCGGATCTGGATAATCTGGTGGGGGAAAAAAAAAAAAACAACTGTCATTCCTGTCTGTTACCATTTTGGTGCTCTTCAACATTTTGCATTTTCTAAAAATTTTCTCCTGATATAAACTTTGACTGTTTTATTTATGTCCGAAGTGAACAAAACAAAATAACATTTATCACCAATATTATGACTATGGTCATTAATAAATGACAGATTAATAACCCCTGCTCACCTTGGGGTGGTGTTAGTGGCAGGTTGTTCTCCTGGCACCAACCCACAGGATGAATGTACGGGCTGCTGGCATCACACCTGCGTTGGTTCACAACAAAACATCCAAACCTGAAGTTGTCTAAACATTTCTGAGAGTTAAGATCAAAATTTATGGAGACAGAAGTGAAGTAAGGCTTTAAAACGAAAACATAATAATCCACAGTGACAACTACAGACTCTTTGCCTCTACTGGATGTAGAAGCACTTAATTAGTGAGCAATAATCTATATATATA